GTACAGAGTATTGCCAGCTGAACTATCTCTTAACACAGTAACAATAAGTGTATTTTTTTCCTCTTTTTGGGGAGACAAGTATGGAACGTGCCACCTATCAGCAGGGCTGCTTCCTTCCGAGAGAAAGATTTGCTATGATGAATTCAAGTTAAAGCCAGGGCTTATTTCTTCTTGGACAATCTAGTCTGAATTTGGATGTCACCAGTGTAACAGACCCCTGGGATTTTATGTAATGTAAAAAACCCAGTGCTGTGGCTCTCATTTACTATCAACTTATGCTTGAAGAAAGATTTTGACTTTTTTCCTCAGCGTCTGGTAGGACTTGGTCCACAGTATTTTTCTGTTGCATCTTTTTGTGCAACAATCTGATGCTGCTACTTGTGAGAGACTTTTAACTGAGGGCTAAAGGGTTTCTGTGTGGTTTTGTCCATTACCTTTGCCATTGTTGTTCTAACACAATTTCTCTTCCTGTTTACTTTCCTCTTTGGTATCTCTCTTTTACGGATGTAACAGCACCTATTCTATTTCTCTTCACTTCCCAATTCTGTGTAGGAAAGAAAAACAGTCAACAGTCCTGATTTAGCTAGAAATTAAGCTGCAACTATTTTTTTCGTGGACTTAATGGGGAAATTGGTGATAATTGCTGACTAATGCTTTTTGAAAACTTGTTTTTAAATTGGTGAAAGACTGTCAAGCTGTCAATCAAGACAGAGATTGGATAATGCACCATTCCCCTGATAAGTTCCCTTTATTATAGTAGGCATCTGCTTTGCTCTGTAAATTTAAGCTACTCAAAATTTGCCCTTTAATGTTTGCTTTTCGCATCATTTCTCAGTGTTAAGTAGTATTAGTATACCTGTACAACATAGTCAAATAGATGTAATAATCTTTGTAGAGAACAACTTTAAGGTGTGATTACTTTTGTAATATCATTGTATAACATTTTTCCAGTCTCTTCCCCTGGTGCGCCCACCTGCCCTTGTTGAAGCTGGTAAGCAGCCTTGGGTCAGGCTCTAAGATGTGCGGAGTCTGACTTTATCAAAAATGTGTTAAAGCCAGGCAAGTGTGAAACTGAGTTGTAAGAACATTTGTGGTCCTTCTGGACCGTTTCTCAAGATTTTTACCTACAACATAGGGCATTTAATTTTCTCTTTATTTCCTTTTAAAGTAAATTTGGAGAGCAAATTGGAGATTTTCTTGCAATCCCCTGATTCTAGAGGCATGGGGCTTTCAGAGAAATGGTTAAAACAGCGATATTTGTAATAAAAGCTGATACTGGGCCAATGTGAACAGCATCTCTCCACGGTACTGGCTGCTGTTTTCATGGTTTTCGATTTAAAGCACCATGAAGCAGAATTTATCTCAACTCCAAGCATCACTGGCATACCACAAATACATGAAACTGGTGCAAAGCAAAACCAGCCTTCCTTCCCAAACCATTTCCCCACCTTCAGTATTTGTAGGTTGAAAACCATTGCCTTCCATGCCACCAAGAAGATCTGCTGTTAGCATGTCTGTAGCAGGATCTGCTGCTCAGGCTGGGCAAAGGATGAAAAACCACCCTGGCAGTGTTCCTGTCCTGCTGGGAGAGGAAATACCAACATTGCGAAAGAACCAACTGTGGATATTGGTTTTGACGTATATAACACTAAAAACTGCCATGATGTCATAGCAAAGCATTGCAATCATCATGGCAAATGATGACAAAAATAAGAATATAGAAATAACAATCTCCCTTGGCTCGCAGATAAATCAAAGCTTAGCCCTTGATCTCCCATTGCTCACTAGCCCAGAACATAAATCCGAGGGTTTATCATTAAGCTTAACGGGTCATAAAATCTGGGCTATTTTTGAGGTGGTTGCAGAGGTTTGCAGCCCAGGCAGAGAGTGGTCTCTAAGCCGCTGGGTCTTGCATAACTAGGTAAATAGCAAGCTTCAAATAATTCTATAAAGCTATCAAATGTAATAACTAATGCAGTCAGGCCAGTGTTCGAGGAGGGGAGCCTTGCTGATGACAAGTTTGCTGGTAAGGACCATAAAAGGACCCGGTTTAGAAAGACTTTTATATAACAAGTTTAAGTCCGTTTTTGCTTTACTGGAAGTTAAGTATGTGCGTCCAGTTTGGTTCATGCACGGTGTTTTTATTTTTTGCACAGCAAGACTTTCTTCACTGTGGGCCCAAGAGAACAAGTAGCAAAAACCAGAAACACAGAAGCGACCGACAACTCGCTTACTTTGTCTCTGCAGTTTAAATATTTATGACAGCGCTTCACAGCGTGCTAGTAAATGCATGATAGCATATTATGTAATAGTAATAAAATTTTAGAAGTAGGTGACTTCACTGCTGCCCTTTGCCAGTAAATCTTTGCTGCCATCCATAGTGAGGCCATGTAAAGGCCATGCCACTTTTTCCCCAGTTATTCTGTGTGAAATGGGAATTAGCTGTTTGTTGGCATTTGTAATCACATTTTTTTAAAAACTGCTTTTCATCTCTTAATCAGGCAAAACTTTGGTTTGGGTTAGATTCCTGTAAAAGTAGATGTCTCTGAGTTTGTGAGTGAGCAGCAGGACTTTGGTGTGTGCAGGGGAATGCATGAGGAACGGCTCCCCCGGTGATGGAACCTGGAAGGAAAGGATTTTGAACTGTGAGTCTTTTGGGTTAATTAACAGCTCAGTGTAGCGCTTTTTTTTTTTAAAAAAAAAAAAAGAGTTGAAGAGTATTGCTTATCATTTGTACTGTACTGCTTCAGAGAAGAGGATTCTTAGGAAATTCATTGTGTCTGGACTGAGGATTTCCAAGTTGGACTTAAGTTTGGGAGGGGTGGCCTAGCTTCTGGGGGGATTTACTCTGAAATGCTGACAAGGAAAACAGAAAGCTAATGTAGAATTAACATTAGGATGGGTAAGAAGGTAGCCCATCAAGGGAGGAGCCTGTCTGGCTGCTGCCAGGGCCCTGTTGCAGTGTTTTGGACAACGTGTTGTGGCAGGATGGGGCAGAGCCCTCCCCTGACCTGCCCAGCCAGAGGTGATCAGTGTTGCCCACAGTTAACACTGACCAAGAGAGGTCTGCAGCTTGGTCAGCAGGGGAACATGCTGCTTTTCCACTTGTACGATCCCAGATTTCAGTCCAAGGACTAACCAGGTCGTTGGTTCCTCGAGCTGCTTTAGCATAAACAGTCAAATTGACATAAATTTGCGTCTTCTGCACTTAAACAGAGGTGCGTACATTAGTGCCTTAATGAATCAAGGAGAGATTCTCCCCGCTCCCCTACCTTTTAATGACAGACATTGGGAACCTATGGTTAGTTATATTTAAAAATTGCAGAAAAAAAACTTAAAGAAAAAGTTAAAAATGATTTGTACTTGGCATAAGAGCACTATTATCTGTCATGGCTTTCCTAGTAGTACTCTGTGTGCTCTGGAAGGCACTTTGGGGACCTGTGCCAATAAAACCCAGCCTTGGAAGCACATCGTGTGAATGGATGAGGAAACAAGCCGCTAGCACGAACGATGAACCAACGTGTAGCAGGCTCTAAGGGTGGGTAGGGTGCAGATCCAAGTGCAGGGGTTGAGGTCTGTGCAGGACTCAGGTAAATTCTTTGCAGAGTCTCAGAGAGATTAAAGGTATGGCAGGTACCAAATCATTCATCTGATGTACACGCATGCGTGTTTACAAAAAAAATTTACTTGATGATAAAGTCTGTTATCTTAGTTTTTACCAAAGACATTATGAGGATGCCAAGTAGGAAAGTAAGACCTGCCAAAATCAAGAAGTAACAGTAGAAGTTGCTGACTTATAATTTTGAGCCTTTGCATATACAGACAGCTCTAATCATGTGTGCTATTGCATACATGAGATTGAGCATGGTGCAGCAGTTGTTCCTTCCTTTATTATTTCTCTGTACCCACTGGTGGAAACTTCCAGTGCCTTGGCTGAGCTGAGGAGTCCCCAGACCCACAGAGCAGCATTGGCTTTTATAGGATGAGACCCACCAGCCAGGTGGGCTCCTGGGTCCGTCAGCCCCCACAGTTCAGTCTTGCCCTGATTTCACTTTTCGGAGGCTGTGCTGGAAGATCTGGTGATGTTTTAGTTCATTTGGTGCAGTCAAGCAGAAGTTGTAGTGGATCTTGTTGCTTTGCTTGGGGACACCTGATGCATTACCTTGCTTTATTGTCCCCAGTGCCTCTGCCCACTAAAGCTTCGGACTTGCAATAATTCTGCAAACACTTTTCTTGAATTTCAGTCCTCAGGAGGCCACCGGACTCCTGCCTTTTGTAGGAGTGTGGGACTGAAAACTTTCTCATATGTTTGAGAAAGGTAGCAGGATGGATGTACCTTGGTTTTGAGTTTGATCTGGGGGATGAGTGTTGCTGCAAGATGTGTCTGGATCTCAGCTCACTTCTATCATGTATCTGGCAGTTCGAAAATTCCACGAACTTTGCTCTCTCCCTCTTGCATTTCTCTTTTCTAAGAAAGCACTGACTGTTTCTGAATTTTGCTGCTTTATATAGGCTCCTTGTCCTCCCCCTCTCACCACTTGCTGCCTCTTCTCCTCCGCCCCAGTTACTAAAATCTTCTCTCCCCGATGCGTCATCTTCATCAGCAGCACTCTTATCATCCACGGGCTGAAAGTAGAGCTTGAGGAAGAAGAAATGACCCCGAATCCCCCTTAAGTTTTCAAGTGGCTGGAAGTTGTTTGCCGATCAAAGGCATCGTGCGGGAGACGCTTCTGCTCTTTTCTCCCCGCATCCTTTATCAGGCAGCGCTTTCTCCCCACTCCCGGCTGGCAGGGCTTGCCCTGCGGGCTCTGCAGGGGCTCTGTGCTGAAACGAGAGCAGCGTTGCATTTCCAGATAAAAGGCACCGCCAAGCACCCCGGTGTATAAATACCAACTGCAAAATTCCTGCAGTCCAGGTGGTACGTGCCTTCAGGAATATGGGAGGCACTTTGGTAGGGAGCAAAGAAAAAGGAGAGCAAGGAATTTTGGAAAGATAGGTAAAACAGAAAGGAAGAATGCACGATTCAGTCGGCTGGTGAGAAACAGTGATACACTGGTTGCTGCAGTAATCAAGTCATGATTTTCAGGAATATTACGAATAGCTCTTACATGCAGAAAGTTTGCAGGTGGAGGATCGACTGATCCCATCTCTCTCACTGGAGGTTTTCAAGCCGTGATCGGACAAAGCCCCAAGCAACCTGCCCTTGTCCTGCTGCGAACGGGGGGCACGGGGCCCCTCCAGCTGGGGTGAGTCTGTGACTTTGGTTGGTGTTTGGAGAGAGGATATAAACAAACACAAATTCTTGGGTCGGTGCCAAATAGAAGTATTAGGAGTGACTTGGCAAATTTGTTTTAACGTAATCTTGGCTTAATCACTGGTGCTGACTGTACTGAAAGCTTCCAGGTCCGGCGAGGGGGTTGATTTAAATAAACATATTCGTTTTTCTGCTTTTCATTTCCTGTGGATGTACATACTCGTGTAGTTTAACAGTGCGTAGGAAGGAAGAAACAAAAGAAAGGGGACAAATTAAGTGACTGCTGCCAGATTAATTACTCCATTGCATTTCAACTCATATTTTTAAACCTACAACTTTGAATGGGAATGTTCAAAATTATCTTTTGCAATGACCATCTTTCCATCTAATTTAAAGTCATTCAACTTTACAAGAAGCAATTATGCTTCACACTAACAAATGAAAAGACATGGCAACATCAGAAAAACTGATTATTCAAGCAATCTTTCTTACATAAAATAGCTAACTAATCTCCCAGCTTCAGCCCTTGAGTGCTATTGCAAATATCCTCCTGAAAGATAACTTTATCCTTGGTACGCTGACAGCATGCTTCTCATCAGTGACTGCTCTCTGTGTTGTCACACTGATGATTTGGGGGTTAAGAAATTATTTTCTCTTTTGTCTCTGTAGCTCTTCTTGCACTCACTACTGGTTTTTGTCCTCTTCTGAGACCAGTGAAAGTGAGGTGCAGGGAATGGGGTTTGTGTCCTGCTTAGAAAAAACGAGAACTCCAGACTTGCTGCTCTTCTGCTGCTCTAACCATCATCCTTAAGGTGATCAAGTCTGAGGTTCTGGAGGAATCTAAAGGTCGATGGGTTTTGTTGCCAGAGAGAGGTATCCATTTGCAGGTATTTTGCTTTATTGGCATGGGGGTGTTTGATGTATCCTGGTCCAAAAACTGAGAAAGGAGCAGAGAGGGAATCTGCCAAAATACAGGGACTTCCTAAAAAAAAAACGCAACCCAAACCCAATACCAAACCAATTCTCAGAGTTTAAATTTTTCTTTCAAATTTTGCAAGTCATTAACTAGTGCAGTGTTGCACTTGAAATCTTGTTATGAGCAAAAGGAAACACATCTTATTTGCAAAGCCAAGAATGTTTTGTTAGTGTAATTGAAATCTTAACCCTCTAATGAAATAGTTATTATGAGTCCAACGCCACTTATTACACAAAAAGAAAAGAAGAAATCCTCCTACAGAATTCATCTCAGTAGTAAGTTAAATATTGCTATACACGTAGTTCCCAACATCTGTGCCCTTCTCTGCTCACCCTTTCACTGCTCTCTGGGAAGAAGTGGGGCATTTTGGTTTTCTTTTTTCTTCTTTCTTGGCTCCCCTGCAGGTGTGCCTGGCATTCTGTACTGTATATCAAAGCCTGCCCCAAAATTGAGATGCAGCAGAAGCAGAGGTTTGATTCAAATTCAACCAGATAGACCAATTTCTCAGGTGGAAATTTCTGTCTTGTAAGGACTTTTATCCTCCTGTAGTCTTACCAAGCCTTTTTGTAAATTCAGAATGCCTCTCCTCCAATAAAGCATTTCTGTTTCTAGTCCTGACTGCTCTTAATATTAAGGGGAAGAAAAAAAAAAAGGCAGTGAGTCATTAGTGTCCCAAGCTGCTGCCAGGAGGCGCATGATGCTGATGGTGGCATTTATTCTTCCTCACTGGGAGAAACAGGAGGTGGAGGTTGGTGGTTTCTTCCACTGGGCTCTAGGATCCACTTGGGATAATAAATATATTTAAGTTTTTTAGTATGCTATTACATGCTTGATCTTAGAGTCTGCATCCCCATGTTGTATCCACGTTTACTTCATGTAGAGCATCGTAAACACATTGGGTACTTGCTCCTGATTCTCTTTGCTGCACCAAAAACTGATTTTGCCAAGGTCTGCATTTCTTTGGCTGTTAGTGAGATATATATGGGGTTATGCTGTCTTGCCTATGGGGCACCATCCTATACCCCCTTCTCCTGCCTTCCCACTCCCGCACCCCTCTGTGCAGTACCCAGTGCCCCTGTGTGGGAGTCCCCTGCTATGTCATACCGTGTGCTGCCCGATTGCACCGGGATCATCCATAGTTCATTCTCCTCTGAATACCTGCCTGTTGCTGCTCTCTGTAGAAGCATTACAGATAAGCCACCTGATCAATAGAAAAATTGCTGGTACAGCTAAACAAGCTGTAGCAGAGCCCCAAGCAGACGCAGCCAGAGCCTGACCCTCGGCAGAGTCAGTGCCTTAATGTGTACTGTCTCATCAGGTTATTTGCTGGTTTTGTTCCCCCTCTCTGTCTCATAACGTTTTTTGACTTTATATTTTCATCTCAATTATTGCTGAACATAAGGTTGATGTTTATAGGAAGCTATTCATAAGGCTTTCAAGATTTCTTTCCTGATCTTAATTGAGAGACTCGTGCTGTGCCTGCAAAGTGAAGGTTGCTGTCCTTGCCCTGTGAGTTGGTTTGTGTTTCCCTGTGTTGAATTTAAATTGACACTTTAAAAGTGGTTTTGACTGAGAAGCAGTCACTTCTGATGTCAGAAAGTTCAGTCTTTACAGCCACAGGCCATCAAGATGATTGCCTAGTCAACGTGGAAGTAATTGGAATTCTACCTTCTTATCATCTATGAAGGAAGACACAAGAGGATCTCATTGAATTGTAGGCACTGCTCAGGTGGCTGTGCTGACACGTCTCTGCCGTGCTGCCTGGAGTTGGACATGGCATTACAACTCACAGGAGTTACGCTGACACCATTAGCTCGCTTACATCTGTAGCTTTGGGCTTGCTTTGACATCCAGCACTGTCCCTGCTCTGTCACTTCTGTATAATCTCCACCATGTTGTTCATCTGTTCCCTAAAGAATTGTGCAGTACCTGTGTATCCATAGCCTAATGTAGTAATAAGGTGCTTTTCAGCATTCCTGATCATCATTTGGGTTTTGGATGCCTCACCGTTTGTCTACAAATATATATCTATTCAACCTTTGTCTGCTTTACTATTTTTATATATCCTGCTTCAGTGGGATTTGCTAAGGACTGTTTGTCTCCTTTTACAAATGTTACCAATTTCTGACCTTTTTTTTAAATTGGAGAATTTCTTGGTTATTCACTCCTAGAGGAAACATTACCCTGAGAAGTGCTTTCCAGTTTTCCCTTGTTCTTGCTCTTAACACTTCCCTGTAATCTTCTGAATTTTCCAAGCCTGAAGCTTGGCCACGGTTTGCTTAGGGGATGCTGTCCTTCCTCAGGACCTGCTTCAGGAGTCTGCTCGAGTCCCCCTTGTGCAAACCTCTTCCATAACCATTCATCCATGGTTTTAGTGTTTCACCAGATTTTACTTTGATATTTCAGCCAGAAACACAAAAACCAGCCCAAATCACACATCAGCCCTAAATTCTGCCTGCAGACTACTCTCCCTCCTTATACTGCTGGTACCTGGGTGGACTGCAGCTACCACATCCCTCCATAGTGTTTCCCAAACGCGGTGTATCCTGCAGGTTGCAGAAGATCATCCCAGATTAAGGTTGTGTTTTTTTGAAGCTCATCTGTTCAGGATATGTTCAAGCAAATGGAGTATTCCTAATTCTAGAGAAAATTAAGGGGGAGGAGGGAGTGGCTTCGCATTTTGAATGTGAACATTTAAAACAGATGCAGCCTGCTGGGAAGCATCGCATTAAATTGCATGACTTTTTTAAAAGAAAAGAACATCCATTTTATTCAAGTCCACAATATGAAAGATTAGGAGTTAAGAGACGTTTTTCACCCACTTCGAAAGTAAATGTATTTTAAATTTTAATTCTTTGGTGCAGCTGCTGCTTTCTCTCTCTGGAAAGCCTCTCTCATGCTTTGAGCGATGTAAAAATGTGGGCTGTGTGCTAATCCAGTTTAGGATGCCAAACTTCCTTTCCACTCATGGGAGGTTTTCCCACCACCACCTTGTAGATGAATGTAGAACTGTCTCTTTACTTCAACACGCCACTGGTTTGGGGAGATCTGTTGGAGATTCACCATCTTAGAATTACTTGTGCATGGAAAAGTATGAATGTGAATTTCATGTTATTTTAGAATAGATACATAAATATGAGATGGCATGGAATCAGCTGAAGGTTTTTTGTGCTCTTTCAGTATAAATATCTAGCAGCCTACATTTAAAAAAATAAGCCAAAACAAATTAGGACCTGTGAAAGAGGCTCATGGCACTGATGGTGCTGCTGGAGCACCCTGGGGCTGTGTTGATAGGAGCTGTGGCGGGATGCTCCTGTTAGCTGCTCGTCAGGAATGGGTATTTGTTGTAGTTACTGCTCCAGCAACCACTTATTTGTGGCTGGAAAATCATCCTACAGAATGGGTTAATCAGAAGATGCTGGTAAATGAGGTATGCCAGAATTCTGGGAGTTTAGTCTTACCTGAGCTTTCTTACCACCCACTGGTCACAGGAGGAATTGCCGAGGGCAACTCTGCAGCGATTATCAGCACTGGGAGGGCTTGGCTGAAGTAGCCACAGGATTTTGCTGTCTTCTCACCCCTGTTGTCCTGATCCAATCTTCCCTGGGGATTCCCCTCTCCTAATTCTTGCTGCTTTGCTTTGAGAAAAGTGCCTTTTTGAGCAAAGCCCTGGGTAAAGCCTCCTCCTCTCCTATTCCCCTTCCTTCATGAGAGTGTATTTTGTAGATTGGGCTTGCTGATCTTGAGCTCATTAATGCTGTCGTACCATTCTGAATACATTAGCCGTGCCCCTAATATGCAATCTGAAGCCATTATTCTCTAGAAGTGATCTTCCTTTTTTTTTTTTTTTTTAATTATTATTATTTTTATACAGCCAGCACTGCAGTCTGAGCACTTTTCCAATAGTAACTCACATTTAGTGATTTATTAAGGTTTATCCAAGTCACAGATTCCCAGTGGATGTTCTGAGCTTGTTTCTTATTTAAAACCATCATCAAAATTCAAATCAGGAATTA